GTTGTTTCCTGTCAAGTGCAGATGTGGTATAATAATACCTGCAGCGGGTTTGTCAGTCTTTTAACCTACTTTCTCTTTCCCGTAACAGCTGAGAAGCTTGCGGATGTCGCTGTGTTTTACCAGCAGAGTGCACACACACTTAAACCAGATAGCTCTTCTCTGATATCAAAGCAAACGCTATATCATCAGGTATATTCTGGTTGAGGTGACAGAATTAGTGCAAGCTGACATGAGCGTGCAAGATGTTAGGTTATTTTATGTAGAAAAATGTATGTTTTTCATTTAGTCTTTGCTGAACTCTAGTTTCTCAGTCATTCTTAATTTATGAGAATGTAGCAGGTCTAAGTCGTTTGTGCTGTAAATGTTTTTAGTCATGGGAGTAGAAATCAGAATGATGCATATTTTGCTCCTCGGTTTTGTTGTAATATTTCAGCTGAGCTTGCTCTTGCTTCCTGATCCACCTGAATTATATTATACCCCGATCCGTCAGAATTAATCTGATTGTGAATTCTGCTTCTAATGATCCTGAGGAGCAGGTCTGCTGACAGTGAAAAGTCTCCATTGTGTCCAGGGTTTGTACAGAACTTTCATTCCCGATTCCAGAAAGGGAATAAATCATTTGTTTGAATGCTTTTCTTCAACAGTTTCCTTTCTTTTTTAAAAAAAATGTTTTGTGGTCTCGCTGCTTCTAGATAGACTTACTGTATGGGAGGCTGCAGGAGGCGTGACTAGTAACCAGATAATTAGCTGTGGTGGTGATAAATATATGCCTGTATGTATAGCAAAGTTATTTTGGGCTTAAGATATTTGTTAATTTCCCCTCTTTCCCACTTAAGTGCTAAAGCTAAGCATTTTGTTTTTCAAGAAAGTGGAGTGGGCAGGTGGTCCGTATCTGTCTTGACCGCAATTGCCCATTTCTCTGAATATAGGAGGAGACGAAACAGGGGCATGGATTTAATTGTAGGCATTGCATGGTTTGGCTTATTCATGTGCTCGTAATTAGTTTATTTTAAGTTCTCGGAAGGTAGCGCAATCTGAGATCAGAAAATCAGAAATGCTGTAGATAAGACAGGCATTTGATATGTCAAGCTCCATTTGTCCTGTCGTTTGGTTTCTCTGTACACCCACTCCTAGTTGTTTTTGAAACAAACTTCCGCAGATCTGAAATTTACCGACCCCACCCCCCCAGGAAGGGACAATTTTAAATAGCTAATCAGTGGAAATTGGAGAGAGCTAAACTCTTGTGAGCAAAGGAAAAGCATGCAAACACCATACAGCTGTGTCCCCAGGTGTCGGCAGTGAGCCTGAGCTGTAAGTCAGTAGCACAGACCACCATGTTGATGTGCTGCCCATTCTTGAGGAGGGGACCTGTGTGCATGTTGGAGTTCAGTGTGAGAATTAGGGTGAATTTTGTTTCTCGGACAGGATGGTGTAGTTGGCTCGTTGACGCAGCGCCTGAGCTCATGGTTTTTCATGGGGTCATGGGGTTTTCTCTGTTGGCTACACTGATGTGATGCGGACCTTCTGTTATACAGAAACCTCAAGATTCTGTTCTATGTTTTATTTATTTGGAATCCAGATGGTGGCAGCGTGGGGGTTAGTGTGCTGTAAAGGTCCCAGAAGTGCATTAAAAAAAAAACAGAAACCAGACTTACTTTCACTCATATCTGTTATCCAGGGGGATAGCATCATTTTCTGTTAAGTGTGGTTTATTAGTCTTGTATCGAAGGTTTAAAAATGTTATTTTCGCATGGGAGGGGAGCACAAAAACAACTGCTAATCGGGTTTTATCTTGCACCATCTCCTGCCTTGGCCTATTGCAAAGGTGAGCCCCAGACTGCACCAGGTTATATGTGCCAGTAACACCTCAGCTTGCAGCTCTTTTGCATAAGAGGGAAAGTCTGAAAGAAGTGAAAGCTACTTACAATAACATGACAACAGACAGTACTCCCACACTCTTCTCTACCTGTGGCTTTATTACAACATTATCTCCATTATCTCTTCTCATTGTATAACCATAAGCAATTCCCATGAATTATAATAATTAGATACAGCAAAAATGGGCAGAGTAAAAGGCAGAAGCAGTAAGCGATCGGAGGTTTTGAAAAAAAAAATCTTATTCAGGAACGAGCAGTATTATTTTAACTCTTGAAGTTTGTTTTTGTCCAGAAAATTGTTTTTTTTAATGTTAAACAGCTGTTTGGCGCGTATGTTTAGTGTCGCCATTTCTTCCTCCCACCAGTATTCTTTAGACATCCGAAACAGGCTTTCAGATATTGCCAGTCAAGAATAAATAGTTTGGCCTTCTTTGAGCCTCAGTTATGACCTGCTCATGAATGTAGTCAAACACTAGGCGCAGAAGTGAAGTAATTGCATTTGTATAAGCCTGTTTCCACCAAACCTAACAGCTGACACTGACATTGGTCTCTGCGCCTACAGTTACCAGTGTAATGCTGCTTAAGCAGGCTTAAGTCTGACAGTTAATGATCTGCATCAGTTTAGTCATATTTGAATTCCAGAGGCTCTGTAATATAAATATGAGCCAGGTGACACCATGTTTACCACCGTGAAATTAAAAATTAAATATGGCAGAGAGCACAGTGGAGAGAAACGACACCAGCGGTGGATACAAAATTTTCCACAAGGCAGTGCCCTAAAGCTTTGTCTTGACAGTTTTATGATGTATTCAGGGGGTATGTTGGGTTCTGGCACTCCCTTTTGAGTCTCAGCTGACTTAAGGTTGGTTTGTCGGTTTGCGTTTGTAGTGATGTTGGGGCGTCTCTGATGTGGTCGCAGTGCAGGGTGGCTCAGTACCATCTGATGCCACTTACACTGCTTCAAGCTGGACCCAAGCCATCCTGAATTAACACGTGACGAAATCCCTGCCATTGTCTTTCCTTTCACTTTTCCAAAACGTTTTAAATGCCGACCACGTTATGTCCAGAGTGCCACCAATATCACCAATATCAAATTGATTATACACGTACCATGCTGGTGGTGATGATTTCTGGAATTGGTCTAAGTTAGATGTTTCATATAGTTACATTAATATTGATTCTCCAAGTATACAAGAAGTAGACATTGATGTTGTAGTAAATGTGTAAATGGTGTGATGTACAGTAGCCTGACCTATGTGCTTTTGACAAGTACATTCTTGCTCGTCTTCTCCCAGCTTGAAGACAAGGATTTATTGCTTTCCATGGCATTTTGCTCAGGCTTTTTTTCCCCAATATGACTAATTCTTTCAGAGAATTTCAATTGTCAGTTTAGTCTTGTTAGATACCTGAATGCATGAACAGCTAATGTACATGCTGTACAAAAACGTGAAAGTGATTAAATCATTTTCTTTAGAAGGTTACTAATGCAGGGTTTGCTCTTTTTGAGGTGCTGACACAAAAATGTGTCTGTTTTTCTGTAGGGATGCATTTTTTTAAAACTAATGAACTATTTCAACATTTCAGCTCGTAGAAAGAAACAGTTTGATTTGAGAAAGATATGTAACTGTACTAAAAATGGCATGGGCCTGCTGTTTGTTGAATTATCACACAGTAGTCATTTCTTCGTGTACTTTTGGAAGAGTGTAGAATCTCTTGGTTGGTTTCTCTGTATTTTGATGTATTGTTGGCAATGGGTTCCTAGAAAGAGTAGCCTTTCAATGAAGAGGAAATCTCTTTGATCAAAGGTGTTGGTATTGTTGTAATTCTGAGAATACTGGAGAGCATGGTGAAGGGACCTGATAAAAAAATGAGTCTTCTGAGAAGAGTGTTTATCTGTTCAGCTTTGGATACGAAATTGATTGTGATCACTATGTATAAGCATGATGGAAATGAAGAAGGATAAGGAGGGTGGAGAGGATATAATCTAGTCAAACCACTGCTCTGTGGGAGAGTTAAACTTGCAGTCCGCTTTTCGGCCACTGAGGCTCCAAGCTGGGATCAGACCTAACAATGCCATTTCCAAATTGATTTAGGATTGGCCATTGTCAAAACGTTTGGCTTTCCTCTGAATATTGTTTCGCCACGTCCTTCAAAACTGCAAAAGTTTTTAAAGGCCCATATCTAATGCTGAAAGCGGTTTTGAAAAGTAACATCTTTTAAAGAATGTTAATCTATATGGAGGTGGAGAAAATAGAGAAACAAAAATTTGAAAGCTTCTAAGTGTTTTGAATAAGAGATGAAGGGAAACTTTCTGATGGAAAGCATCTTGTGTTAAACCCCGAGTGTCTTGCAGCTTGCCTTCTTTTTGCAAGTGGCAATTAGGCTCTTAACCAGGAGCTGCAGGTTATAAAAAAAAAAAATCTTACAGTATGAAATGTATATTTGGGATTGTTTAGCACTTGGTATACTTTCTCAGCAATCAGAAACCGCCATTTCCTCCAACAATTTGGTGGTTTGGCATTCTTTTTAACCATGTCCACATGGATCTAAGGTGGTGCAGTGGAAATGTTAATTGGTTAGTTGGCTTTAAGAGTGAACCGACTTAACACTCTAAATATTTCTAGACTGCATCACTGTGCTCCCTGTAGATACGTTGGAAATCCATATTTAAATCCATACAGTATTTAATTTTTGCAATTCAGAAATAAAAAAAACCTCAAAGCACCATTAGGTTAATTTTGGTCATTTGGCTTATAAAATACTCCTGACCATATTCTAGGTAGTGTACAACAGGATTATGTTGTAGCCTTGCTTATTTACAGTAAGTTAGGTTTTATTAAAGCATGACATGGTTAATTGTACTGTGGGGACATATCAAAATGGACAGTCATTTGAATATGTCTGAAATGACTTTGGTTTGCAAAACTCTATGCTAAGTAATTCTTTTCGGTAGCTGAAATTTGAAGAGTGCAAGTTTTTGCTGTATTTTGTGATTTTTATATTCTGCTGCACGAGAACATGACTGGTTACCCCATCAACAGAGTTTCTTTCACGAGAAAACGGAAATATCATGTAAAAGTGAGCGCCTAAACGACGCTTCATTTGTCTTTCTTGTCCAACAAGTCAAACAGTAGTATCCGCCGTTTCACAAAGCCTGCCGAGAGCTTGGAGCAGTCCTTGGAAATTAATCGACAAAGAGGAAGAAAGAGACTCCAGAAAAGACCCAACTACAAGAATGTAGGCGAGGAAGAGGAGGAAGAGAAAGGTCCCGAGGAAGCACAGGAAGAACCTGATAAAGCTAAAGGCCCTGAGAGTTCAAAGGGCAGCAAGACCAGTGGCGAAACAGAAGGTGAGTAGCACTGTGCTGAATGACCTTCTGCCCCCTGGCCTGCTCTACTGATTATATAAAACGGACTAGATATTCAGTGCTGATGTAACATTAACACTATATGATATTCCTTAGCTTTGTATTTGATTTTTTTTTCCGGCATAGTGGTTATTTAATTATATAGCTATGTGACCCTCCCCCTCCCAGAAATCAATTCTTCAAAGTGTGGGATGTGAGTGCTTTGGCTAAAGTAGTGTGCAGACCATTCAGTTACTTCAGCTCCTGCAAAGTTGCAGGACCTAACAGGAGGCGTGGGGCGTTTTGCCTAGAACCCATTTTACTAAATTCATTTTCTACCCTGAGCTTTAGCTGTCCTGGTTTTCCACTTTTTTATTTATCTTTCTTTTCATACTGTAGTCCTTCAGGACTCTAATAGGGTCCTTTCAGCTCTTTCATTAGCTGCGATTTTAACATTTTTCCCATATACTGAGTAAATATCCATGCAACTAGTTGCTGTGTGAAGGTCTCGGTTCCATGCTGTGCACACTGTGGCTCCAGTGTCCCAGAATAGTCTTTACATAGGTTAAGAAGCTTGAACTAAGAGAGATGAGCTGCAAAATGTTTTGGATAGAGCAAGTCGTGTGTGTCTGATCTGATGTCGCGTGCCCATGAAGAAAAGCAGCTCTTCTTGCGTTGCTCTCTTGCAGAAATTGAAATGGTGGTGATGGAGAAGTGTAACATTTCAGAGATGACGGGGCTGACGGAGCAAAACACAACCGATGAAGAGAAGAGCGCCGCAGCAGCTGCAGGAGCTGACAGCCTGAGGAGCAGGTGATGCTTTAGCAGGGACACACTCATCAGATGGTGGTACACTGGTGCGCACTCATCAGATGGTGGTA